CTATGGAGCGGATGTTGTTCTCCATGCCAGGGCTAAGGTAATAAATAAAACAGCCCAAATACCTCATGACTTTTATGTGCTGATATATGCTAGGAATTTCATACAAGGAAGGAAGGAATGGGAAGCCATTAGAAATATGATAAGAAGAGTAATCAGAAGGTTGCTTAGTCGATGAGGACAATGGCCTTTGTCCCTGTCGCAATTTTTTTTAATTTTGTTTTCTTTTTTAGAGAGATTTTTACTATAGGGAGTGTGCACTCACAGGAGAGGCAGAGAGACAGAAAGCAAGAAATCACTACCCAGGGAGGATTTCCACACAGCAATCCCTTCTCCATTCTCCTCTCAGGATCTTGGGCACGCATGCACACACACCTGGCATGAGTTTTAAGTAGCCAGGTCCAGGACTGGAGCCGCAATCATTTATGTGAGAGTCCAGAAATATAACTATTATACCATCTGCTGGTCCCAATCCTATTGCAGTCTTAAAGGGGCAACAGTCCTGAAGCCCATTACCTGGCCCTGAGGAAGGCAAAAAAAAAAAAAATAGCCAAGAGCACAACTGCTGATGGCAATAGGAAATTGGGAAGAGGCTTTGGATTTACTGCTGCAACAGCTATGGGGGGTGGGGAGGTAGGGGAGGTGGGCTGTATTCTTCTGCTGGTTCTGGGGAAAGCAGTCAGGGGGTCTCCCTCAGACTGGGGGAGGGGCCTGGACCCTCTCACCTAGTACTACTGTTCTGGTTGTTATGGAAACCCCTACACAATGTAACCGCAGGTCACCCAGGCCACAGTGAAAGGACTCAAGAAGAAACAACCACTGCCTTCCTCTGTGGGCCTGTCCCTGTCTTGTGAAGCAAATTTCCTTTCGGTCAGTGAACTACAGTAGTCTTTGTGTGGGGGAGGCTGTATTGCTGGTCCTGATGACCGTGTCTCGGGAGAGGCCCTGACATTTTGCTTTCGATTTCTCTGCTTCCAGCTTATCTGTCTCATGCATAGTGATTTATAAATTCACACTTGTTCATTCAACAAATGTACACTGGCGACAATCACGTGTGCAAAGTGCTGAAAATGCCCTTTTGGAGGAGAGACACGGGTGGTACCCTGAGAGATGGAATGAGAGAAGAAGGCACCACCACATGCAGCACCCACTTGGGACATGCTCTGGGCGGGTGGGGGAATGAGTGAACCAGGAGCTCTGGTGGCAGGAGGGAGGAAGGACCCTTATGACTCAGCCCCTGAGACTTCATCAACATTGGTTGTGGCTAGGCACTGCCCTCTCAAGACTGCTTAGGTCCAGAGAGGCTGAGCTCCTTCTAGATAAATGAATAGAACTTTCCAAAGCAGGTAACGAAGGAGAGGGAGTGGGAGAACGTCACACTCAGAGCGAACAGTCTGCAAAGGCAGAGAGGTAGGGCAGGGCAAGGTTCAGTAGAGGGCCAGGGAGTGGTGCTCCTGGGAGCCTGATTGTGAGGGTGGCTGGCGGCTGATTGGCAGGCGCTTCTCAGTGGAGGTGGAGAGGGCAGAGGGCAGAGAGGCTGTGCCAATGAGAGTTTGGACTTTGTCCTGTAGCAAGCCAGAAGGAACTATGGAAGGTTTTTAAAACTGGGCATGACATGATCAGATCTGGGAGGCACACACACGCATAGAGAGCTATAAAATAAAATAATTCAAATATTGAAATAGCCTAAATATATGCACTTCAAGTATATATCTGTATATATGAAAGACCTTCAAAATTTCACCGAAATGCGTGTTATGAAAAAGCTATGAATGGAGGTTTTTTGTTTGTTTGTTTGTTTTTTGTTTTGCAGCAAAATAAATTCACACTTTAATTCCATTTTTCCATGAACTGGCTGACACACCCTGCACTTCATTCATAGGAGCCCAGATAAATCAGCTGCTATGCTATTCTTCCTAGTCAGTCAGAGGCCTGCACTTTGCCCCAGAGAGTTTCGATTCTTCGTAGAAATGTGAAGAGAGAAACATAGTCAACACTCAGTTGCGTTTTCTCCCTCAGTTCCAGATGCTGCTGAGAATCAGTAGGCAAAGCTCTAGGAAGTGAGAGGGCTTGAAAAGCAACTGGGGGGTGGGGGGGAGATGACCTCCTCCTTGCTGTGGGGGTGGGGATGGAGCAAAGGGAGCTGGAGATGCAGGCCCCACTGCTGAGGGGGCTGCCCGTGCCTTGGGTGTCCTACCGGACCTATGCAGAAATGACACCCATGGGTGCAGTCCATCCCTTGTCTTTCCCATGAGCAGATCTGATGCCTGGGCAGGGGTCTCTATGGGAAAAAGTCACCCTTCAACAGCCTGCTCAGTGTGGCTGGTGTTCACACTGCACAGGGAAGCCACCTGAGTCCCGAGACTGCCGGTCTCTACCCCAGCAGCCTGAGTCCGTCCAGGGCAGTCCTGACCCTCCTCCCCACCAAGAACATGTTCCTGATGTCTCACAGACAGGGGAGAAAAAATGGTAGGGAAAAGCAAGCCACGTACATACCGTGTATCATAAAATTTTTTTGAGGTGACTTTAAAAATCTACCCAAAGGGGTCTGGTTCATGGTATGGTGGTTAAGGCAACTGAATCCTACATGGCTGACCACATGGTTCAAATCCTGGACCCAGAGACTTGGAAAACACTCCAGGCATTCGTGCATGTATCCCCAAAATCCCAAGAGGAAAATGGAGATGGGATTGTGGTGTGGCCATTTTCTATAAGAAATGCTTTTTCACTTATTCTCTTCTTCCCCTAAACTGGTACACATGCCCTCTGGCAAAATGTTTTTTGAAAAATCTGCCCAATGTAAAGTTTCTAAAAATTTGAAAAGAAATCAAGTGTAAGGAAAAAAATAAAGGAGAGGTCAAAAACAATATTAATGTAGAAGAAAATGAAAATTCAGTGATTTACCTGATCTTAGGTAATTACCAAAAGCAGGACATGAATTAAGCTCCGAACTTCCTGTGAAACAAAGCAAAAATGAGAATGTGAGCAACATTGGCAATGTAGAGAAGATAAAAGAAAGTCTCAGTGGTAGCTCTTCTTTTTCTTGTTTTGGGGTTTAAGTGAATTCTGTCATTCAAGTCCTTATAAAAGAGAAGTTTCATGGTGTCCTCAATAGCTTTTTGGCAATCTATTCAGTGGTAAGTTTTCAATGGCTATTTCAATGTGTTCCTGTGAGTAACATTCCAAAACTCAATTTAGGAACAGTAATTTTTATGAAGTGACTGAAGGAGGAAGGCCAGAAACATCAACCCTTAGTGGTACACTTACCTGATTTAGATAGGAGAATAAGAGCAAGCTCCATTATCTAGGGGTAGACTGCATATCTTTCAAATAATCCTCAATATGTTTGCTAAAAGTTGAGCCACACATAGTTAAAAGATGTATTATCGGGGGGGGGCAGCAGGTGGCATAGTGGTTAAGGTGCTGGACCTCTCCATGGTTAACCATGGTTCAAGTCACAAACCCAGCAGCTTGAAACTCCTGCTAGGCCTGAGTGTGTGCGTGCCCAAAATCCTGAGAGGAGAATGGAGGAGAAGGGATTGTGGCACGGCCATCCCCCCTGGGGGGTGATTTCTCGCTTTCTGTCTCTCTGTCTTTCTCTGGAGAGTGCACATGCCCTGTAGCAAAAATCTCTTTCAGTAACATATATATGTATATTTATATATAAATAATTTGGAAAGAACTCATCTAGAATAGACTAATTTTCTACTACTGATTAATGGCAGATTGGTAATCTTAAAAATTAATCTAGCTCACATCCAACAAATTACTAGATGGTTTTACTACTTTTTTCCTTTTTTTCATAGTATTCCCTCTTACACGTATTAAAACTCATACTAAACAGTAAATCCTACATTGCAAAGAGAATTTAGTTTTTTTGCACCTGTTTATAAGTTTCTGCCCACAAGTTAAACAAAAGCAAACACAAGGGCAAACAATTCTTCTCCATATCATAATTTTCATAACCTGATGCCTGTGATACTACAGTTTTTTAAAAAAAAACAGTAATGAAATATAAAATACAGCATTAAACACTTAGAAAAATGGATTAACAATATCAATCAGTTACTTCTAAATTAAATATATATGTATGTATATATTTGTATATTTGTAGGTGTGTGTGTGTGTAAAGAGAGAGACAGACAGAAAGAATGGAAAGGATGAAAGCTGTAAACTGTCAGCTCTCTCTAGGTGGTAGCGTTTGACAGCTTTGTGTTTGTCCTACTTCAGGTTCTTGTCATGCCTGAGATGAGGGTTTTGGTGCAGGTTGTTAGGAAGACAATCCTGGGAAGCACTAGAAGAGAAGAAGGACAGTAAAACAGAGAAAGGAAGAAAGTCGGTAGGAGCTCATGGATGAGTGGATAAGCACTGTAGGCCATGGAAGCTAAATCCTCCTGGAAACCTCAGAGACTCTGAAACACCCCTCAGAACTGTCCCACTAAGGGCCAAGGACCAGGCCTGTTTTTCCACACACTGTCATCCTGTTGTTGAGGATTGCTCCTGGGAGTGCTACCTACCAGCACTTTCAACCTCCCTGTACGCTGGCCAAGACCACTCCTGTGACCAGGAATGTCCTCCAGAGGGGAGCGAAGGTGCTCGAGAAACAAAGCCATCAACGTCTAAGAGAACTGTCCCAACTTCAGATGGCCTCTGTGGTGGATTGTGGTTCTCCAACAGTGCAATTTTCAAATATTTTCATATATTAAGCTAATATTATTTATAAATAATAAACATATTATTTATAAAAATCATTTTTACAGAACTACCAGTTGGCACAATCAATATCAGGTCAATATTATTTATAAAAATGGCTTTTTCAGAACCACCGTTGGCACAATTGAGAATTCAGCACCTAACCATGACTCTCACCTGAACAGAAGGATCCTGTCTCTGTCTAAGGTGGACTGAGGCAGTACTACAGGAAGAACACACTTATTCTCAGAAGTCAAGGTCTCAAAACTTCATCCCGTAGAACGATAGTCACACTGATGTTGACCTGAAATGTGCTCATACTGGGAATTACCAACTGTCCACCAGAGCCATAGAGCTCAATCACACATTCATGAAGGGTTTAAATTTGAGTAATTTGCAAAAACAAAACAAAAAAAAAAAAAAAAAAAAAAGGCAGTTTTCACTTTTTTTTTTTTTTTTTTTTTGGAGAGGTTTTGTCTATAGGGCGCATGCACTTGCCAGAAAGACAGAGAGAGACAGAGAGACAGAAAGTGAGAAATCACCCCCGGGGGGATGGCCACACCACAATTCTTTCTCCTCCATTCTCTTCTTGGGCTCTTGGGCATGCACGCACATGCACCTGGCATGAGTTAAAGCCATCAAGTTCAGGACTCGAACCGTGGTCAACTACATGGGAGTCCAGTGACATAGACATTATGTCAACTACTGGTCCCAGCAGTTTTCACTTTAAATTCACAATCATGAACTTCAAATGTGCACATTCTCATAGCCACCTAACGGGGAAAATGAGCTTGCTTAGGATAAATGTCGTCATGATACCAGGCAGTGTTGAGCATGCATTTGAGTGTAATCCACTAAAGGCCCCAGCTACTATGTGCTGAAAGCTGTCACTGTGTTGACTGCAAAGTCACCTTCCTACAGGTTGGTTCTAGGCAACTGCTGAGCCCCATTGAGATAACAAGTTAAGCTCATTCCAGGGACACAGGGGCTCCTCTGAGAGTTGACTCTGGCTCCCCATTGGTTTTGAAAAACCTTCCCTGGGTTTCACCACAATCCAGAAAGCTACCACTCAACCTCCCTTCCTTTTCTTCTTCACTCAAGGTCAGACCTGTGTCACTGTCTGACAGCTGTTCCAGTCTCTCTGGCTCACTCCCAATTTGTTCACACAGATAGTTCCACTACTAAGACCCTTACATGGTTGTTCCTACCTTGGCATCTGTTCACAGACGATGTGGACCTACACACCACTCTGTACACCAGCTCTTCTCTCCTTTTCCTGTTTTCTCAACAGCTCCCTGATCTCTCCCACTCTCAGCTAATGACTGGGCCTCCTGTTTCAGCGAGACAATTGAAGGCATCAGATGGAGTCTAACCCTACTAGCACCTCCTTCCTCCATGCCAATATGGTGGAGGGTGTCCCTCCTCTTGTCAAAGCCCTATCAATGCCTTCCCAAGGGCTTTCAGGTTTTCATCCCTTTTATCCCCAAGGAGATCACTCCTTCAGATCTCACCTCCTTTTCTTACAACAGTACTGTCTTCCTTGCTCTCTGCTCTCCTGGCTCCTCTGTCCCTCACTCTATTGCCTCACTCCTCCATTCTTCTCTAAAACCAAATTTCTTGGAAGATCAATTTTAATAAGGAGATCAGTCCTGTTAGATTAAACCCTGCTCTGATGGCCTCCTTTAGCCTCCATTACCTTTTTAAAGACCCTATCTCCAAATACAGTCACATTATGAGGTACTGTGGGTTAGGTCTTCAACATGTAAGTTTTTGTTTTTAATTTGCCAGAGGGCACTAGCACTCACCAGAGAGAGACAGACAGCGAGAAGGAAAGCAAGAAAGGACTCCCAGAAGGGATGGCCACACCACAATCCCTCCATTCTCTTCTTAGAATTTTGGGTGCATACACAGACGCCTAGTGTGTTTTCTAGCCACCAGGTCCAGGACTTGAACCACGTTGGTCATGTGGAATCCAGTCACCTCAATCCTCATGCCACTGGCAACCTCAACACAGACATTTTAAGGGAACACAATTCATTGCATAACACGGGGACCACTGCAAGTGTAAAGGAGGGTGTGAAAGCCTTATAGCTGGTCTTCCCACTTCTGTCCCTGCCTCTCTCCAATTCACTCTCTACGAAGAATCCAGAATGAGTTTTTTAAAACATAAATCTTATCATTCCACCTCCTTCTCAAAACCTGCAGTACTTTCCCACTCAGAAGAAAGCCCAAACTCCTTGCCCTACAGTATCTGGCCCCAGTCTCTTTTATCCATGTCATCTTATGGATGACTGTCCTGTCAGCCACTGCACTGCCATCAAACTCAGCTTCTTTCAGTTCCTGGGACAACCTCAAGCTCAGAGGTTTTTAACACATAGTTTGTTTGCCTGAAAGCTTCTTCCTGCCACACATATCATGGCTGTCCCCTCCTTACTCTTTGTCTCAAGTTAAACCATCTCCCCTCTGTCTTCTCTATGACACCACCCTATACATGTCCTTCCCACTACTCATCACACAGAATCAGTTGTTCATCCTTTTGTCTGGTTATCTGTTTACTATCTCTCTTACTGAAATATAAGCTTCATGAAGGCAGAGACGTTGTCTTCTTTTTCACAGCCATGTCACTAGCACCTAGAAGACTGCCTGAAATATTATAGGTATTCTGTAACTAGTAGCTGAATGAATGAATGGTCATGCTGCATAAGAACCTGAATGGGTTGATCTGTTGTATAATAATGTTGGTCATATGTTATGCAAATTTCAGAGAGGCCTGGCTACACTGGCACAAGTGGCAAGAAATTGCTACACAGTATTGGAGCCATATGGGAAGGTCCAGGGTTCAGATCTCTGATTGACCTGAACCTGTCCGGATGTACTCATGGGTGGCTGGAAGGCAGGGGGAAGATCATGGGATGGCAAGATGCTACTGGGGGGGGGGGTGTCTTTGTCCATCCCTCTGTCTTTCTCTCTCTCTTTTGCTATATATCTCTCTTTCTCAAATTATTTTTTTTTAATTTCCAAGACTCTGCCAAAATGACTTTGTGTTTTTAGAATAGTTGTTCTTGAAATTTTTTCTTCTGGAAATAGTTAAAGAGCAGAAGTAGCTTCCCGTTAAAATCACTTCTAGTTCTTTTTCTAAAAAAAAATTTAATAAGGATATAGAAGTGTTTTTTTTTTTTCTTTTTAGTTTACTTATTTCATGACCGAGTAAGGAAGACAGCACCCTCCACAGAGCCTCGAGCTGCAATCTTCCCCCACTCACTCTAGCCATCCCAGCCAGCCAGAATCATGAACACACAGGCCTGGCATGCACAGGTTGACCAGAAAACTGAACCTGCAATCTTCCATGTGTGTCTAGCATCGCTTGAGCAGCATATTACCACTGCTCCACCACGCTGGCCCCACATCTAGTTCTTTATCACCAAATGATCTCATCAGTGGAGGAGAGCACACTTCTTTAATTCTCTAGGGCAGGATCACCTACCCATTAAAAAAGCCACAGAGGAGTGTCACAGACTCTGGGATTAACACATCTAGGTTGAAATTCCACCTCTGTAATCTATAAACTGCTTGACCTGGAAAGGTCTGAACTCTCCAAGCCTCTCTGTCTTCATCAGTAGATTGGAGACAAAAGTATCTCCTTGGCAGGAACATTCTGCAATGAAATGACACACGCATATAAATTACCCACATAGTTCCTGACGGATGATGAATGTTAATATAGGCGGGAGCCATTATCACGGATCTAGGAAGCAGCAAGACTTTACAGCACGGTCGGGAAAAAGAAGTAGCAGATTAAACACATGACCATGAGATTGCACTGATCGAATTTGTAATTATTTGGACTCCATGTGAGAGATGAGGCAACATTAATTGAAGAGGACTAGAAATTTCTGGCTGGGTGATTAGATGTGCAGTCATGCCATCAACAAACAGTTCCATGCAAAAGCAGCTGTGTTGAGTAATTGAATCATTTTGAATCAGATCACGTATGGCATGATTTTAAGCTCTGGACATTCTTAAAATGGGGGTTGCCTGCATTTAGGGACTCCTTGTGAGATCTGTTCTATTCCTGGCCTGTGAGAGAAGATATCTAACAGTACAGAGAAAGGCTAGAGGGTGTATCTTTTTGTGAATTTCTAAGTTTTATCCATTCCTTGGCATTCCCTTCCAAATATGATGGACTCTCCGTTTCCATTGCATGGAAGGCAGGAGCTTCCTCTGGGACTGAGGAATGGCTC